GTAATTTGGAAACTACTATAATAACACTGTGACGTGCCCCAAATCTTTATTATCCTCGTTCAACAGCTATATGACAATCTCACATGAAATATGATCCACGATGGGAAACTCAGGAAGGCGTTCTAAGTGAATACAGGAGAATACAGGATTGGATTATGCGGAACACCGTACATAGGGAGTTAGAAGACAGGAATACGTTGGACTCTAGGAGATCTGGACTTCACAGATGATTCAGGTATAATGTCACACAAATTCGAAATTTTGCCAGCGAAGACCAACAAATTGGCAGAAGAAGGCTCCAGTAGAGAAAGGATCTGCAATGAACATGGAGGCGAACATGGAGGTGATGAAGACAACCAACCAACCAACCAACCAACAACAAATATCAATCACTATCAACGGAAGAAATTTGAAAGAGGTCACTTCCTTCGCTCATCTACGTGGCATCGTCTCAACTATAGGCATAGACACAGATGAGGATGTCAAAACCAGTCAGAATTGGAAAGGTGAGACAGACTTTCATCACTCTGAAATCAGTCTGGAAATTTTCTGCAATCATAATAAACAAGAAAATCCGGATTTTTAATACCAATTTTAATTCAGTTACTTCTTCTTTACGGATCTGAAACTTGGCGCGTCACAAAAAGTATTTCAGAGAGCCAGTTGCAGAAATTTATCAACAGCTACCTTTTCTGGCTTGGTAATAAAGATCCTATGGGCGACCAGAAAGGATCAGCAATAAGAAACTGTGGGAACGTACCGATCAAGAACCTATGGGTTAAACAAATATGTGAAAGAAATTGAAGATGGATAGGATAGAAGCTGAGGAGACCATTGGATGACATCTGGCGTCAAGCCGTCCCTCAGGCAGAACCCGAATAGGAAATGACGAGTTTGGCGTGAGTGCAATGGTGATGTGGAGGAGATCATGTGAGGAAGAGGTGAGAGCTAGTGGGCAATCGTGGGGTCAGCTACAGAGGACTATACAGAATAGGACAACGCGGAGAAATTCTTTTGATGCGCTAGTTTCCACTTGGAACCCAAGGGAACAATAGTAATAAGCATCCCTAATGCACAAGAAGCGGCTCTCATGACTCAGTGACCTATTGTATAACACTTTAGCGTTTGAAGAGGTGAGTGTTGGATTCCGGTCACATTGAGAAGACCATCACTGACTAGGAAGCAAGTGCATCTAGTTGACGAGTCCAAGATTGGTCTAGACGCACGTTTTGAATTCTACTGCTAGCCATCAGTAAACAGTACTATGATTAACTGGTTATTTCTCACCTTTGAATTCTGAATTCAACACAGAAAGAAATGTCTTCAAACTTGGCAAAATGCATCAAATAAACATTTACTGTCTATTGGAATTATGAAATAATGATCTAATTACAACAAAAGTTCTAAACATGAAGTATTTCTTTCATTTTATTAAATTTAACCACAGGAATAAGAAGAAATCTTTTTCAGAATACTGAAATATAATTGTGTGATTTTAGATTTTGAAGATTCGAGCAGCTTGTCTACCTCTGTTACCTACTGACCTTCATACATATTTGGTTCTAGATAAGTTTGAACTTTGTCAGAATGAACTGTAATTGAAAATCTGACGAACTTATACATACTATATATATGGGAATAAGCACTCCCAGTTAATGCATTGTTTTATTCACAAAGTCGGTGCTGAAATTAAATTGACTATGATATTAGCTTAATGAAATTATAGATTTTACACATTTATTTAGATGAATTTATTCTAAATCAATCAAAGAACAGATCTGCTGACGTTCTTTCTTGAATAGCATCAGTGGCGTAGAGGTAGGATGCCCTCCTGCAGCAATTCACGTGATCTGGGGTACGGTCCCTGAACAATACGCTCCTAAAACTCGCTTATCTGGTAGTAAACCAGGCAAAAAGGGAAGCTTCAATGTGAGACTAGTGATCCCACCTCGTAAAAATAAATCCACTACTACCTAAACTTTAAACCTGAAGCTTGGAGCCTTATGTTCCACTGGGAACACAAAGGAATAAAATAATCTTTCTTGAACACATATCAAAATGTACACAGCCATTGCACAGCCATATTTATTTAGTATTAGATGATGTTTTATTTTAATAATCCAGTCACTAGGGGATTCAGCTTCATGATGCGTCTTATAAAGTGTTTGTTGATAAAGTTGCCTAGCCTGTCGTTAAAATATTTGTGTTTTTACGAGTTGATCATGGATTGATATCAGTTAGAGAACCATTGAGAACAAGCAGGGAGTATTGGACAGCTGCTCTTTCATCCTAGTTTGGAAATCATCGGTAGTACGCACCCACCCCCAGCGAAGTTTGAACCCAGGACCTTCCGGTTACAAGGCAAGCTAGCTCGTATACCATTCAGCCACAGGGACCCGATTCAATGGCTCATGAATTCTAACTTCTACCAATTCGTGATTTATCACGACCCCAACCATTGTCGTAAAAACTCGCAAAATCATAACTAACGCTTACAAACCAAACTATAGAAAATATTTATGACCAAAGAAAATTTTTAAAAAAACGTGAGAACAGTGAACAACCATCATTTTTACCTTGAACTACAAATCTTCTCTTTAATTACACAGTTATGTTTTGAGTAAACTTTTTGAAGTAGTTTAGAGATCTACTCACTTAAAGGATAACACTTTGCTTTTGAAACTACATCCGATTGGTTTGAATCATAGTGGGTTATAAGTCTAGAATAGAAGGAAATGCGCTTCCGGAACTCTTCGACATGCTATCACCGAACATATACCTTTAATTAGTAAGCTGAAATTCCTGTGATGAGAACTGAAGTTTGAAGAGAACATGGGTTTGTTGACGACAGATTTTATAATCAACAGACTTATAGCCAAATGTAATCTAATCACTCAGCTTTCTTAGTTCTATTTCGCGTATGAATTGTCTGATGCCTTTACATATATTTTACATAATGGAATTATATCGAGTGTATTTAATATATATATATATATATAATAGCACTTAAAATAATAAATATGTTTCGGGAAGTTTATTGAAAATTATACAAACTATAGTCAGTCATTGGACTGCAGGTAGTAATCTCCAGAAATATATATTGTACAATTAATTTACTACAGCTAATAAAGACAAGGCAATATTTTCATTTTTTTTAAAAGTGCACAACTTTGTTTTATACAGCTAATAATTAAATTCCACACAATGGCACTACATTTGAATATTTTAACCGGTTAACTTGTGTATAAAACACTCATAATTGTTCAGTACTATTGAAACACTACTACCCTACAAAAAGAAAATTTTAATTGTCTAAGTTTAAGATCTTGGAGATACTTAAATAACAGTCAAAAAATTTTACAGAAATAATAAAGACCCTGAATTACTTTTGGGCATGTAACAGCTAATTTGGGATAACAATTCATTTAAATTGTTAAAAGTCTCTCTTAATGTCAGTCATCAGGTTTAAATTCCGTAAGAGGAGTTAAGAATAATCAATCACCTTTTGAAATAATAGAGATTTTTTAGCTCAGAATGAAGTTGTCTCTAAAGAGGTTATCAAAAAGAACAATAGAAGCTTCACAATTGAACCATTTAGTACATAGGACTCTTTTTACATTCCTAAGTGAGACATATAGAGCTTCACGTCTGATCTTTGAATTCCAGAAGCAGTGTTGTTTTCACGGGATGGAATTTCTAGACTCAAACCCATCCTTCCCTTTCTGACAGGCTTAATGCTGGTTAAGCGAGGTGTGTGTGTGTCAGAGTGTATCGGCACGGAACCACTGACGCACTATCAAATAACATAACAATGCTAAAATCAGTTTAATGGTCTTTATTACTTCATTTATTGAAATGAGAATATAATTCGTGGATAAATACTATAATGAGACTGTGAAAGTTAGCTTTAGGTCGGTCGGTACATTATTATTATTGAGGAATGAATGAAGGTGAAAAGAGAATCTAGTTTACTGGAGGATTCATACAACTTCACCTCTCGTAAGGGAACTGACTGAGAGTCCGACTTGCATGCAGTTCGAAGGCCACTAATAATAATATTAATAATTTGCTTTATTCAAAAACTAAGGGGGAACAATAGAGAATAATAGGCAGGATACAAGAGTTAGTGAATCGTAATAGTAAGGATTGGGTTGGGTTATTCCAGAATGTCTTAACTTCTTGATGTAGAAGGTAAGACGGAATATTTTCTTTGAAATAATCAAGATATGAGTCGACCAGGAAAGATCAGCAGATACAATAACGCCTAGTTGTTAAATTTCCGACTTGGTTTCAATTTCAGTGCCATCTACGCTACACACCTCGTGAGTGCGACCAGTTTGTTTAGGTCAGATTTATGCCTAAAGGTGAAATTAACTATTTAGCATTTAGAGGGGTTTAAGGTGAGACCGTTTTCCTTGGACCATTGGCTGATTTCTGACAAGAAGCCATGCAGTTTAGAGCAGTCATTTTGACATTTGACAAGTAGAGATACAGTTAGGTCATCAGCATATTTGACAAAGTTAATGTCATTTGAATATGGTAGGTCATGTAGAGAGAATGGAAAGAGAAGTGGGGAGAGTAAAGCACCTTGGGGGACACCAGCTTCAGTGACCACAACAGAGGAGGATTTACCTTTGTATACATTGTACTGCATTCTGTTTGAAAAGTAGGAATGCAACCAGTTAGTGACCCAGGACTCAGTTTGTGTCGTAGAGAGCTTATTTAGCAAGAGACATCTAGGTACAGAGACGAAAGCAGAAGTGAAGTCGAGAAACGTGCAGCGGACGTATTTGGCACCTTTATCTAATGATGAGACGATACTGTAGTGTAAGACGGCTGCAGCATCTAAAGTACTCTTACCCTGTCTATAGCCAAATTGTTTCGGGTCTTCAAAGCTTTTAAGGGAGGAAGTTCGAATCTTGCTGTGATTAAAAATTTCATTACATCATTCCCATTATGTAGTTAACATTGGAAACTTACCATTATCATCTTGTAATAATTCATCTACCATGTATAGATATTGTCGATTTATTCTCGGTGATATCATTCAATCGAAATGTTGAAGATCTTAATTTTTCAAATACAGAAATATCACTTTTTGTAGCATATTGTAATAATGTATTTGTTGTATTTGTCATATCTAAATCAGGATTTTGAAAATGCATTAAATGATCAATTGAAAAGGGTTTATTTGATACTTCACTACGATTTAATACTCCATCATGATCAACATCAACGCTGTTAGCGTTAGTATAATCTCCTACCAACTCTTCATCTCCTTCTTCTTCGTCGTCTTCTTCTTCGCCTTCATTTTGCCCTCCATTGTTATTTTGTTTAAATTTCCGCTTATCACCATTGATACATTGAACAGGTAAATTGTCAATTCTTTGAATTTCTTTACCATCTTCTTCAATACATTTCAATGACTTTTCATCATTAGACTCTATTAAGTGTAAATAATTTTTGTTCCATATATTTGATTCTAATACTTCTGATTGATAGTTGTGTAGCGGTTTAGCTAATGAATAGGCAGAGTTTATAAGCGCTCCAGTTGTTGCCATTTGTGTTAGCGGTGAATTATGTGAAGGAAAGTTTCCAGCCATTGTGCTTAATGATGTTGACGGTGTCATGGGAATACATGAGGACAATGATGATGATGATGCTGATGACGTTGATAGGGATAAACATGACAAAGATGGCGCTAAAAATGATGATGAATTATAAGGAACATTTGAACTGATAAGGGATATCTCATCAACTGGAATGTTATATTGATTTGTATGAATCGATAAATGTTGATAGCTGTTATCATATTGTTGTAGCGGTAATTTTGTCTCTGTTGTTATAATAGACGATTGATTATTATTATTATTATTATTATTATTATTGCTCGCCTGTTGTTGTCTAAAATTGTATGTTTGATTAAATGATGACACATTACAATTTTCAACTGTTGGTATAATATTCGCATTTTCTGAAGGTATGATATTGTTAATACTACTAACAGTATGATTCATAGTAGTATCATTATTGTTATGATTGTTGTTATTAAGTATACTCGAAATATGTGTACATTTAAATGAATTATTTGTCACAGCATATCGATGTGGATTATGCGCATCATTCTCGTGGAAATAGAATTCTGACATTAAATTTACTGGGGAATTTTGACGGGTTTGTTGTTGTTGTTGTTGGCGTTGTTGCATATGATGAGGATGATATGTAGTTGACAAAGGTAATGTAAGATTGGCAGGAATTGATGAAAAATACTGATGCGATGGATTCATCATTTCATTCACACCAAGGGAATCTATCAGTGTATTGTTCCTACCGTATAATCCAGCTGCTGTCGCTGTTGCCGATGATAATGATGATGACGATGAGGAGGTGGAGGAGGACGACGACGACGACGAGGAAGGACAGGAGTTGGAATTACACAAACTAAATGTATTCACTGGCATACCGTTGATATAATTTACACTACAACCACTAGTAGTTGTAGTAGGAGGATTAAGTTTCAGTGATGGATCAAAATTACTTTTATCCGCATAAGCATCTATTTGTTGTGTTTGTTGATTCTGTGAAAACAATGGCGATTGTTCTGGATAATTAACAAAATGTCTAAACTGTTCATAATTATTTTCTGGATAGATAATATCTGTAATATACTTGGTTGACTCACGACTATCATATGGACTGAGTAAAAATAACTGAGATGATTTATACCTATTCGAGGATTTTTCATTGATAACTTCACGCATAAATGGGTAAGTTTTTAATTCAGGTGATGTTGAATTAGGATGCTGTTGTAGGGGATAATATTGTTGATGTTCTGATAATGAGACTCTTTCTTGTTTTTGATCATTGATAATTACTTCTTCACTGTCTTCGTTTACTTCATCATAATCCTCTTCCTCATCGTCTATATCAAAATCACCTTCTTCATTTCCTTCATCATCATCATCATCATCATCAGGAAAACCATCATCATCTTCAGCTCCGTCTTCATTATCCGCATTCTCATCGTCAACATCATTATAGTCATCATTGGCGTTATTCGATAAACCCATAGGAAATGATTTCGTTCTGTTATGTGAAAGAAGATTGTCTGTTTTCACACTTAGCAGACCATTACATTCCGTTTTTGAATAGGTACGTTTCATACCCGTTGGTAATAGTAGGTGTTCACCAGTTGGATGACTTGAATTCATTGGTATAACTTGATGACTATTATTATTATTATTATTAGGAGTATTTTTAATGTTCAACGTATTTACAGTTTCGTTATTACCAGTAATCAATGAAGTCGATGTCAGATTGCTTACAAGACTACCGCTAGTACTTGTTGTACTATTCCTTTGACTACGATGACTTACTTCACGTTTAGGATCTTTAAAACGTTTTTGTCGTCTTAAATAACAACCATTTTCAAACATATTACCAGAATCTGGATGTAATGTCCAATAGGAACCTTTACCTGGTTTATCTGGACTCCTTGAAACTTTAACAAAACAATCATTAAAGGATAATGAATGTCTAATCGAGTTTTGCCATCTCTGTTGATGTTGACGATAATAGGGAAATAAATCAATAATAAATTGATAAATTTCTGATAAGGTACACATACGTGTTGAAGAGTTTTGTATTGCCATAGTAATTAAACTGATGTAGGAGTATGGAGGTTTAGCATGACATGATTGTTTTGATGATTGACTGTTTGAATTCTGTAGGAAATTTGAATGATTATTAATTTGTTGTAGTTGTTGTTGATGTTGATATACCATAGCTGGGACAGGCAATGGAACAGATGAACCTTTTGATGTAGAGGATAGAATTCGATGGTTTTGTTGTAGCTGAGACTGTAATTGTTCATCCGAATGATGATGATGAGACGGTTGATGGTGATGTGAAGGAGGTGGATCTGCAAGCGGAGGCTGACCAGGGAGCAATGACTGTGGAATAGGATGAGACGACGGTGAATGCATGTACTGTGAAGGTATGGATGAATGATGGGGATGATGATTATATTGATTTAACTCTGAATCCACCTGTTCTACAGGCAACTGATGGTGATGATGGTTATTTAAAAACTTCGTTGGACTGGTTTGTAGGAAGGCTAAATTTTCGTGAAATGACATTGTAGTTTCATGACCTTGGAATGATTTATCACTGTTGCTATTATTATTATTACTAGTTATATTATTCCCATACTGATGAAATATTTCACTGTCTGAAGTCAACTGACTACTCATACTACTTATATGAAGATTAGTAGTAGTAGTAGTATATTGATCATCCTGTTGATTCAATTTACTCATATCACCGTGATCACCAGTAGTATTTAATGTCACTTTCGATTTGATTGTTGATAAGGACAATGGTGATAGTGTTTGAATTAAACTAAGCGAAGGATTTTCAATGGATTGCAGAAAGTCATTGGATCTATCTAGTGTTGATTTCTGAGGCAGTTGAATACCATGCTGTTGTTGCTGGTAATGTTGACTTTGATGTTCATCATGATGTAGATGGGAAGAATGATGCTGAGGATTGCATAGATCATACTGTGAATTCACTTTAATACCGGGATCTCCATATTCTCCAAAATTAGACCATAATTCATTCATTGATGAATTATTATTATTATTATTATACCATAAGGGTGAAGAAGGTGTTGTATTATTCTGTGATCGTTTATCAAGATTTATAATATTACTTGAAAGTGTTGTCGGTGTCACCGTCGACATACCACATGCTGCTGCTGATGATGGTGATGATGTTAATGTTGTCGATAACACTGGTATTACTGAATTTGATGAACACCATGATGTATTTTCGCTTAAATTTAAGAAATTCATTGAATCTAAATGATAATTTGAATAATTAACTGGATGAATATCAGTATCAGTTGTTGATTCTATTCTAAGATTATGATTATTCGAATCTTTGATTAATTCATCAGTTGTTTGATTATTGTTCAATGTACAATGATTTACATTCATTTCTTTTATTGAATGATTGATCAATTTGTCCGGGGAATTTAAATTTAAGGTTATAGAAAATATACGCAAGATTTATCTGAACAATATACTTTTCATCTTTGATGTGTGTTCATTGAAATATGGAATTAGGAGCAGGAATTCCTACGAGGTATATTATCATAATAATTATACGGGTACTTGATTTAGAGTTAGCAATTAAGTGACTTTAATTTTTGTACAATCGATTTAGTTAGATTGGATAAAAAAAAAAGAAAGAACGTAGTCAGAGAAAACATGAGTCCTTTTTTCAAGAGTATAGAGAAGCTCTACCTGAAATTTTGCCTTCAAACCAAGTCAAGGAAATAAACATATCATCTCTCTCTCTCTCTCTGCCTGTGGTTAAAGCCTATGGTGAAAGACACCTACGCGTGAATACGCAAAAAAACTTGAGCAAATCACTATTACTGGGTTATCTCTGCCTTGTTTTTTTCTAACCACAAAATATTTTATATATTAAAAGAAAGATAATGGCGACAGACAGTTGATTGGTTGTTTGGGTAAAATCAATCTAAGCGTTTTAGCCGGTATATTGTATTCTACTACCCCATTGGCATACAAACAAAGCGCTAAACTGAACTGCATTGTCGTTCACTACTCACTCACTCACTCACTCACTCACTCACCTATCAAAATCAGTATTGACAAAGAGAGAATTATTATTCGCAAAACCTACAGAAACTCACTGCTCTATTTTAACTCTCACTCATGGCTTGTTTTAGATGATTTCTATTGGTTGTTCACACAGAAAAATGTTTATGGTGTAAGCGATGCTAATTGAGTTCCCATTGGTTTACTCAGTGTAAAATGACGAGGAGAAGAAGGCGAGGTGAGGGGGAGTGAATAGGTATGAAACAGAGCAAATGATTTTAGTTCTTTTTTTTGTTGATTTTTTGTTGTCCTTCGTCATCGATGAAAGAAAACAAACTGATTCAAATGGATTTCGCCTCAGGAGATAACAAAATATACATATTCAAGTTATCTGAGTAGAGATGAAACAACAAAAAAAAGGCTGAGATATAATTTAACTACATTTTGATATCTTCTTAAAAAGTAGAAGAGATTAATTGTAGTGATATTTGCTTTGTAACTAACCTAAAAGTTAGTCAAGTGTTAAGAAAATTAGATGAGTAGACTGAAGATTAAGTAATCGACAAGTAACGCCTAATCTATTTGTGTTTTATTGCAAAAGTATTTTTACTTTTTTCAGGATTTCATCATGAGCTGACATTGATTAGAGAACCATTGGAAAACCTGTAGGGAGTACTGGACAGCTGTTTCGTCCTAGTTTGGGACTCTTCAGCAGTACGCACCCACCGGTATTCGAACCCAGGACCTTCCGGTTATTTTTGTAATTTTATTCCTTCACGTTCCCAGTGGAACATATAGGGCTTCAAGCTAGAGGCTTGAAGTTTCGTTAGCAATGGTGCCTACTTCTACGGGATGGAGTTGCTAGCCTCATGCCCCAGCTTTACTCTTTACAAGTCTTGTCACTCGCTTAGTGAGGTAAAGGAGTGCATTGGCAGCCGATGATCGAACCCCGAACCACGTGAAGCGTGGTTGGTGAGCATTCTACTGCTATGCCACTGGCGCACCATATAATACAAGTTGGTACTGTTGACCAATAAGTGGATGAAAGTTGACGGTTCAGTGGTGGAATGCCAGTCAACTACACACGTGGTCAGGGTTCGACTTCTAATTGGAAGGTTGACTGTGAGTCTACTGATCCCAACCGTAAAACACAAAACACCAGCTTTGATGAAATGTTACTGAAACTTCAAAGCTTGAAGTGTAATGTTCCAATACGAACTCAAAGAACACACTGCAATCTGTTTAAAACTTCGGCTATCTCAAAATACTCCATCGTTATATTTCACAAAATTTCCCTTGTTCAGCTTGTCTTAATCTATTAAAATATCGCCTCTGATTGTGTTTTCTACTCTCGTGAGTATTTAAATTGTCTACAACCCACTGATTTACCAGTTTTGAACTAAATCTAACGAAAAACAGTGTTTTTACGAGTTGATCACGGATTGATATCAGTTAGAGAACCATTGAAAACAAGCAGGGAGTACTGGATAGCTGCTCTTTCATCCTAGCTTGGGAATTATCGGCAGTACGCACCCAGTAGGGTTCGAACCCAGGGCCTTCCGGTTACAAGGTGACCTCGATCCGATTCAATGGACAGCCCATGAGTTCTGACATCTACCAATTCTTGATTTAGCGCAACCACCAAACAATGTCATCGGTGGGAAATCCATCCATGCACATGACATCTAATTGGACCTCATTGGTCACTTTTCAATGGTTCTCTAACCGATTTCAATCTGTGATCAACTCGTAAAAACATAACTAACCCTTACAAAACAAACGATAGAAAAACAATGTGGTGGGTGGCAATTTATTCCAATACATGAGATAACTGTTCCTGAGATTGATATAAGTATAAAACGATGAAATGCAACAGACAGAAGAGGCGTTCATATCAAATAACTATCCTATAAAATTCATTAGGAATATCAAAAGAGGTAAAAAGTAAACTAAAAATAATGGTGAAACTAATAATGATAACATAAATAAGGGAGAATATAAGGCACCTACTGCTATACCATATAAAGAGGGGACACCTGAGACCATACGTGGTAGGATTCTTAATAAAGCAGGAATTAGGGTGACAACCAAACCTACAAACTCAGTGAGAGACAAGATCTGTAGGCTAAAAGACCCGGTGGACTTAATTAGACAAAATAATATAATTTACAAAATACCCTAAAATGACTGTGAGTTAAGTCAGCTAGATAGGTCAAACTAGTAGGCCGGGGATAGTCAGATTGTCGGAACACAAGAATTTAGTTAAGGTAAGAATGGTTGACCCCACTCGCGAAGATAAGTAATTTAGAAAAAGCTCAGCAATTGCAATGCATGCATTAACGTACAACCGCACAGTAGGGTGGGTGGGAGAGGGTTAAAATTCTAAAAAGTAATCTAGGTAGGTGGAGAGAGAGGTTGATTACTAAATCCTTGTTCATCGAGTCTACACCCAACACATTTAACAGGACTCATCACTCATACCGGAAATATGGAAAATACTAATACCAATCAAATCAAGCGATGGAAAATAATGGAATTGTAATAAACGAAGATAGAAAGTTGTGTGAGTAGTGCCTTGATATGATAATGAGCAGTAATAAATTGTACTCGAAGCGTCATCAGTTAATGTTACTGTATAACAGTGTGTGATTTATCAAAATAAAATCTTATCCATAATGGTGTTCCTGAGATTTTTAGTACAACCTGACACTGCCTAAGAAATAAAACTAACTTCCGGTATTATTATGTTCTTAGGTCAAAAAATATACTCCTCCACCCTTTTTGTATTGGATTTCGACAAAATGTGCATTTCTCGAAGGGGGCGAGGAAGAAATATTAAAATAAGGGATTGCTTGGCGGCACTTCAAGTCAGATAGCAATGTGCCACATGACCTACTGTCAGTTAGTATTTTGCCTAAAGATCTAGTATGAAAGAAACTATTACGCAATATATTCCTCTGAAAATTGTGTACATTATATATATATATATATATATATATGAAATGTACTATTGTAAAAGATGTATTCGTAGTCACACTTGTAATACTCTTAATTTCCTTGAAACGTCTTCATTAAATGTTGTGTGTAAGGAGATTTTAATAAAGCAAAGATGTAACGGCTGGGTATATGACAGTTATCGCCATAAGCACATCCCGTGTTAAGAGCGCCAATGGTTTAGTCAACATTTCTTTAGGGAATAACAGCCTTGAAAGACAAGAATCCGGAGGGAACCAATATCTCTTCTGACTTTAAGACAGATTTTTCGTGGTAATACGAATGGAAAAGTTATGAAATAGATCTGAGTTCGAACACATATATATTTTTTTCAGCAGTTTGTTTGTAAGGTTTAATTTGTTTCAACGAGTTTGATCACGAATTGCTGTCAGTTAGAGAACCATTGAAAACCAGGTAGTACTGAACAACTGTTTCATCGGCAGCACGCACCCACTGGGGCTCGAACCCAGGACCTCACGGGTTACAAAGTGAGCTCAGATACCATTCAGCTACTGGGACCCGATTCAATGGACAGCCCATGAATTCTAACATCTACCAGTCCGTGATTTAGCTCGACCACCAACCAATGTCATCTGTGGGAAATCCATTCTCACTGGTCACAACTTCCTACTAGAACTCCAGGAAACTCCGTCCTGTAGCAAGTCACTAGAAAGCATCGGATTAATTTTCAACAGTTGATTTTTTTTTATCACAATCGAATACTAATTGTTCTCATGTTTTTGTTAAACATTCGTTTGATATTTTGTTAGTGACTGCTTCCCTGAAAAAATTTAATTTAGGTAGCTAAACAAAAAGTTTAGATTATTTGTTCCAATATCTCGAAGATTCATATCAAAAGTGTGTTATTTACACGTGTCTATTTTTCACTTGGTGTCTAATGTTTGTGAAGGAACTACTGGGTCAAATTTTCATCAGAGTTCAGATAAAGCTTTAATCAGCTTTAAAAATAAGATATTTTTTCCATTCATTGTATCTAATGCATCGCCGACCACACATGTGCTTCGGGGTTCGATCCCCCGCCGCCAACTCACTGCTCTACCTCGCCTAGCCAGTAATAAGACTGGTAGAGAGAGAGAGAGAGAAGGAAGGAAGAAATCACAAGGCTAACAAACCCATCCTGTAAAAATAAACACACCATTGCTATCGAAACTGTAAGCGTCTACCTTGAAGCCCTCCCTATGTTCCACTGGGAACGTAAAGAAATAAAAAATGTACTTAATGTCCGTAATAACTTCAAATTTTTTTTATTGGGGGTAATATTAGGCCTATAAACTCTCGTTACAAATTGTGAATTATTGATTGTATAGCAGATTCTGGCTTTCAATTCTTTATCACTAAAAAAAAATCAAAGAAACCAGTTTATGGTACCAGGCAAACTCCTCAGGTAATAGACCATATTCTACCCAACACCTTCTCCTCCATCACTGGGACTGTTTTATTTCTGACTAGCACTTCATAAAGGGCAATTTCATTGATAGCGAACTGTCGGATATTATTATTATTGTATCCTTTAGTTCCTAGAGGATCATAGGGCTTCAGCTGCGCACCTCCATTGCCTTCGGTTTTCTGACAACTTTTTCACCCCGCTCCAGGTCTGTCCACATGCTTTCATCTCCTCCTCGCATGACCTCCTCCAAGTCACTCTTGGACGACCAACTCGCCGCTCCCCTTTCCGATTCCACTCGAGCGATGGCTTGTCTAGTGATGTCACTCACTTGATGGTTTCCTCAGAGTATGGCCAGTCAATCCAGCTCCATTTCTTCCTGCCTATTTGTTGCACAATCGGTTCCTGCTAGGTTGGTTCGC